TTTTTTTTTTTTTTTTTTTTTTTTTTGTGTGTGTGTGTGTGTTGTGTGTTGTGTGTGTGTGTGTGTGTGTAAGTGTGTGTCCTAAATTTTCCAGTAGCCCCCGACCTACTGAAAAGTTTAGGATTCCCGCGTTTCACGGAGTCGTTGTGTCGCGCGCATGGCACCGTCGACACTCGTTGGTGGTCCAAAAGTGGTCCTTTGAGTCGGTGGTCGGACATTGGAGGTTTTCTGCGGCTCGACACGGGCAACGACCACGAACAGTAGCCGTTGGCAGAGGGGGTGGAGCGCGGAGGGCCGAGCGTGAACGGGTGGTTTCCCGTAGTGGACCGTTGGGTCGCTTGCGAGATGCGGAGTGGGACGTCGACGTGCGCAGGACGACAGACGGAGTCCCTTCGGGCAGTGCGAGCTGCAACGGTCGATTTTCAAAAGGAAGGCGGGCATTTTCGTCGTCCTTTGTGGTGGTTGTCCGCTTATGAATGTCGAGTGCCCCTGTCCCAGGCATGTCAGAACACACATCTGCAGTGGTCACGTGCGAGGGCGGCTGCAGAGGTGAATTTCATGGCTGACGTGGGGAGGAGATTGCCTCTGCTGGTACTCGCTGTCGTCGTCTTCCTGATTATCGTCTTCCTCCACGTGTGTTTGTCGTGGTGGCTGTGGAAACAACAACGCAAGAGGAGGGCTTCGACGAGACGGGCGGCAGGGGAACGTCTAATGGCGGGCATGCAGGCACGAGCGGCTACTGCCGCAGGTCAGGGAGGAGTTCGATCTTCGGCGCCGGAGCCTCGAAGGCAGTACGACCCGTCCATGTACACCCATCTGGAGTCGTGGGATACGCCATTGCCCCCGTCGGACGAGGAGCCGGAGAAGGAAAAACTTTCAACGTTGCCTCTCGTCAGCGGCTCGACTCAGTTCTGGTCGCAGACAATGCGAGCAGGCGGGTTGGCTCACGACGAAGGGGGCGAGTTCACGTCATTGCTGCATCAAGGCTTGCGGGACGACGACGGCGGAGGAGTTGATATGAGGTTCGGGTTGTGTTCTGGCGGCGGCAGGGAGGCGAGCCGTACGTTCATCATCGACGGAGTTCGTTCGGCACGTGGCGTTGAACATGGTGGAAGCCTGCATACGGAGCAGTCCACACTTCGTCGCGCTGCACCCGTGACTCGCGCGGTCGGGCCATCGGCAGCGGGACGGCAGCATGGATCGACTGCTCCGTCCGTCGATCGATTGACACTGACCTGCGCATGGGCGGTGCACGTTCGCCGATGCCTGCGTGCACAACACTGATCGAATCCGAAGTGAGGGACGAGGGAACGTGCAAAGCGTCGGTACGTGCACGACCCACTGTGGAGAACATAACATGTGGAGTGTCGAACATGCGCGCGCACAGTGATGGAGGCGAAGACGACGTTGGATTCGGTGATGACGCAGACAAAGGGATGAGGGAAGACGTGGAAGCGGGGGACGACGACGACGACGTTCCAATTCGGCCTTTGGGGAAGACGGGTGGGAGGGGTAGAGGACGCGGCAGAGGTGCTGTCCGTGGTTGATCCGTCGCCCGTGGAAGCCGAGGTGGCGTGAGCGACGACGTCGGGAAGTCTCCGACGTACTGGTCTGCAGAAGACCAAATGCTCCTGGTGCGATGCAAGCGGGAGCAAGATATGCACCTCGCCAGCTTGTCTCACAATTACGGGCGGATGAAGATGAAAGAGTGGAAGTGGGACGACATGTCGAAGCGGATGGCGAATGCGGGGAGGCCGAAGGACGCTGACGACTGCATGAAGAAGTGGGACAATCTGTTCCAGAACTACAAGAAAATTCAGAGGTTTCAGAATGCCAGCGGGCGGCCAGATTTTTTCAGGCTGACGAACGAAGAGAGGAAGGAGCACAACTTCAAGTTCCGGATGGACAGGGCGCTGTACAACGAGATCCACGCAGGCATGGTGGGGAACCACACGATTTTCCCTCCCAACGTTGTCGACACCGGCAGTCCGGAGGCTGCATCAGGTACTGCCACCAATGTTTTTGTGTATGTGGGACCCCGGACTTGGTTTGCAGCAGGTGATTCCCCCCGACCAAGAGATGGGGCCCTCCGCGCAAACACTAGACGTGTCTTCTCTTACCAGCACTCTAGTGGATGACGGGGTCGTCTTTTGTTAAAAAAAAAAGAAGAAAAAACAAAAGGCCGTTCCCAGCCTCAGTTTCCATTATGGGCCTGGCCACACCACTCTCGAAATGTGAAATGTGGCCGGTGCATCTGGCCATTTTCTAGCCGGAAGTTCATTCTCATTTTGCACATTTCGAGAGTGGTGAGGTGAGAGGAGAAGACAAAAAAAGACTAGTGAGAGGATGCGAGAGATGAGGACTAGCAAGGAAAATGAGATAGATGAGAGAAGAATATAGCTTTTAAAATAAAAAAGAAAAAACAAAAAAAGAAACAAAAATCTAAATCTGGTTGCGAGATGTGGAAACATTCGATGATCCTGTCCCAAAACAAACGAAAAAAAAAACAAAAAAACATTCGATGAGCACTCACCAACCCCCCTGCCTTCCCAGCTGGCAGCACAACATTTTGCCAGGCTTGTCACCGAAATAGAGAGCGACGAAGACAGGCTGGCATTCCGCCACAACAGCGAGTCGGTGCACACGGACGGTCTGGACCGGTTTGTTTTCTAGCGGATGTCAGTTAGTCACCAATTCACTCACGTGACTCAGGAAATCTGACCTGCTCCTTGCAGCCGGGGGGAACGTTTCCATGGCCGGAGAATTGCTGGTCCAGAAATAGGGAGTCCGCTGTCATGGTGCACCCTATCCCACAGCACTACTCCAAAAGGTTTGGGTCAAAACGTGTGGGAAGCCCTAAATCCAAATTTCAATCATGTTTTTTTTTTTTTTTTTTGCAATGGTACTATGTATTTCTTTGAAAAATAATTTGAGGACGGGGACCTCACAATTCTACCCGCGGATGACATTCTGGGACCATTACCTTTTTTWTTTCTTTTTTTTTTTGAAAAAAAAAACACGGCCCCACCAGTGTTAGTGCTGCTGATAGGAGCAGACACCACTAACACCTGGGGAGAGGTTCCATCTATTGGTGGGGAGCATCACCTGCTGGAAAACGGGTCCAGCGTCCCCTATACAGAAAATGAGAATGTCTGTGAAAAGTAGTAGTGTGGGAGTAGTGACCCTGAGGTCTGCCAGCATTGATTGCCCTGCAACCCAGGGGATTTACTGCGCAGGCCTGAGGGCTTCGCCACACCACTCTTGAGAACTCGTTTTCAAGAGTTGCCACACAGCCTCTCGAAACTTGGGGCAGTCAAGGGCTGTCAGAGCAGCTCTTGAAACCCTTTCAAGAGCAGCTCTCGAAAGATAGGAAAACCCAACCTGCAACTCGTGCATTTTCAAGCGTCCTCGGCCGAACCCTTGAGGGACTTTCGATTTTCGAGAGTTGTCAGGCCGTTATCCTGACGCCAATGGGAAAAAACAAAGCTCTACGACTGTCGRTTTTCATYGGTTGTCCAACACCATCGCCCTTTCGASAGTGCTGTGYGGCGAGGGGSCTGAAACTCTTGAAAACCCAACTCTTGAGAACGTCTGACAGCTCTTGAAAAAATTCCCCGTTTCAAGAGTGGTGTGGCGAGGCCCTAATTATGGCTTGTGCTGGAAATCGGGTCCAACGTCCCATCCGGAATCTTTKCTACTGAAAACCGGGTCCAGCATCCCATCGGMGGAAAAGAGTTGCTGGAAAASGGGTCCAGCGTCCCAAAGCACTTAACAATGTTAAAGGAAACGTTGCTGGAAACCGGGTCCAGCGTCCCTATATCAGTTAACAATTAATCAAATTGAAAGTTAAACCACCAGTACTTCCTAAAGTTGTACCCCTTAACGCTACGCGATTTTAGGAAACGTACGGGCCACTACAGGAGCGCCCAAATTCATCCAACTAGAAACGTTTCTACTCTATTTTTTTCCGCGCCTGATAGCTGGGCCAAGTACTGGTGGTTTAAAAAGGAAAAAAATGCTGGAAGCCGGTAAGACTATGCTGAGTAGATTCCGGGTCAACCCTGCGAGCGAGGCCCCTTGTAGCAGAGCAGCCCCTCCAGGCGGATTGGAACTACGACAGACAGTTCCTACCTTGAGAGTGGCTGAATGAACTTTCTACGAAAAACAGTAATGTTTAGGAGGGAATGAAGCCCTCCTGGTCAAATTGTTGTGAGAAAGGTATAACCTCTCTGTCCCTCTCTTCCCACAATAAGAGAAAGAAAAAAAATATTTCGATCAGTATACCTTCCTGCCCATTGGTAGGGATATTCCCAATGTCCTGTATGTTTTGATGAGTAACCCGTCGTCCCTTGTTTCASGTGTCTTGCTTTCTTGTATTCTGCTAGAATCAGATTACGTGCAGGGAATCTGAATTTATTTCCAAGAACCAATTGTGCTGKAGTGATGCCATTAAAACGCCYATCTCTTCTTGCCAGCCRTAAGAGCCAGAACGCAATGGCTCGAAATTTGAAGGCGATGSGTCTACCCTTGAGGATACTTGTGGTACCTAAAATTACAAAGTTACGACTCCACAATGTAGAGTCCCCATATGCTTTTCTCCAAAKCTCTTGCAACCATTCCCAGAATCCTTGTGCCACCACACATTCCCCCCACCACAGGTGAGAGGATGACTCTATTCTGGGATAAGGGCACTGGTCACAGAAAATGTTAAGGGGGAAGTACGTTTATGTCACATGGGAGTTCGTAATGGGCAGAAAAAACAGGCATCGGCGTCTGTGTCAGGGCCTGAGTTCGAAAAGGCGTTCGTAACTCAGGCTGGCAGTGGTGTCAGGGCGGAGGTTTCACTAAGGCGTTTTGGTCGCGCCGTGCCGCGGCTGCAAGGAGAAAAAAAAGGTTTTTTTTTTTTTTTTTTCCGTTCGGTCGCACCGCGCCGCGCCTGTCTCTTATACACATCTAGATGTGTATAAGTGGGCCATGGCCAATCTGGGGTGTGGCCGAGACATCTCGGCCGTGGCCAATCTGGGGTGTGGCCGAGACATCTCGGCCGTGGCCCGACCATGGGGACAATACACCTTTTTTTTTTTTTTTTTCAGCCGCGGCACGGTGCAGCGCGGTGCGACCGACGGAAAAAAAAAACAAAAAAAAACACAACCGCCTTAATGAAACCTCCGGACACCACTGCCGGCCTGAGTTACGAACGCCTTTTCGAACTCAGGCCCTGACATAGACGCCGATGCCTGTTTTTTGTGCCTTTAGGAACTCAAAACATGCCGCGTCCCGCGTTGTTTCATAAATAAATGAATGCTGTCGCAAATCTGTGCCCATGGTGTAAGGGCCACCGTGGGCCTTCAGGGCGCATGTCTGATGGGCACGCGGCCTGGGTGGCCCTCAGCAACGGTCGGGCCCCTGAAATGGGGCCCGTGTGCAGGCTCAGCATGTAACACACAGAGAGAGAGAGAGAGAGAGAGAGAGAGAGAGAGAGAGAGAGAGAGAGAGGGGGAGTCTTTCTCTCTCTCTCTCTCTCTCTCTCTCTCTCTCTCTCTCTCTCTCTCTCTCTCTGACGGTCAATTTTACGTGAGGGACTGGATTGCAGTCTCAAACTCTGCGGTGCGACTTTTCCGCAAATTGGAGTTCGGACTGCATTTCAAACTGCGGCCCTGACTGGATTGCAGAAACGCTGTTTCAAATGCATTTATAAACTTTTTTTGTGACCCCCGTGTAGTTATCAAGTTACCCTTTTTTTTTTTTTTTTTTTTTTTGGCCCGGCCGGTCTAGTGGTCCCAGGCCACTCTGCTAGCCTAGGTCCATATTGAATTCAAGTTTTGCAATCGGGTTCTCTTGCTAGTGGGACATTGCCCACAAACTGATGACATGTGTGAGCTTGGACCATGATGGAACAAAATAACTCTTAACTACCAGTACCTTTCCCAGATATCAGCTGCGGGCAGGAAAAAAACTGCGTCTCGTTAAAATTGAGTTTTTTTTTTTTGTTTTGTAATTTGTACTTGCGTGACCTCAAGAGGTCGTTTTGCCTATTCAGTAACTTGAAGGGCCATTTTTTGGGATGAGAGGTAATCTCATGGATGATCACTCATCCCAAAAAATGGCCTTTACTGGACAGGGCAAATGACGCCTTCAGGTCACTCAAGTACAAATTGCGAAATGGGAAAAAACTCAACCGATGGAAATTATCAACGGCGGGCCGATCCCCCTTGGCTTTGACGTAACCCGGTGCGGAATTGGTTTTCAAGTGGGGAAAGGTACTGGCGGTTTAAAACGAATGAACCTGGAAACAACAATTTCGACAAAACGGACATTTTATATTTTTTGAACGAAATTGAAATCTCATTCTTTGGCAAAAAAATCATGAAATTGAGGGTATGGCATTCTGAAAACGCCCCACCCCCCCAATGTATCTGGGCTTAGCTAAACCCACATACATTCAGGCTGGAAAACGCCGGACGCCTTGGATATATATGGACTTCAGCTAAGTCCAGATACGCCGAGGGGGTAGGGCATTTTCGAACACTGTACCCTTCATTTCATGAATTTTTGCCAACAAATGAGATTTCAATTTCGTTCAAAAAATACAAAACATCCGTTTTGACGAAATCGCTGTTTGGATGTGTTTTACACAGAGACGACAAAATGCTCTGTCTTGAGTCAGTGAAAGCGAAGACACGTTTGGTTGTGCGCCCGTGCGCTAAGTGCAACAAACTCCGCGCGGTGGTATCCTGCACCAGGATGTTTGAGGTTCTTCACGGTATGTTTACTATAAATAAGGCGGGGTCTCTGCCTTGAGCAGAGTGCTCCCCCTGACGATACTGGCCCCTGGCTCTGGTTGAAACGCAGTGTAGGGGTTCTTGCCAAGATGCTACTATTCTTGCTATCTTTCGTTCAAATTGAAGGTAATTTGCTGTTTTCAATGCCCTCATCTAACCTCTCATGAGTGTGTTCGTGTGCGCATTGCGTCTGCGTGTTCCAGCCGCCTGAAGCTCGCATCTCGAGCAGTCGAGCCTGTAAGCAGTGTTCACATGCAGCATCGCTCTTACCTCACACCAAGCTTAAACCGCTAGTACACGGCCCCAGCCTTGCAGAAAGTTTTTGTCGCCACAAGCAAAACTCGGACGTGCCATGCGGCCAGGCCCGCCGCTTTAAAAAAAAAATCGGCGGCCTCCGAAGTGGTGCAGGAC